TGCCCCGTGATCACCGAGGAGGGCCCGAGCGAGCCCACTCCGCCCAGGAGCGTGTGCGGGTTCGCCACAGGGGGGGGGAGACGGGGGCGTGCGGTGGTAATCCCAACCGGTCGGGTGTGATCCCAAGCAGCTGGGGGCAGTTCCAATTAGCGAGAGCGGCAAACCAGAGGTAATTCCAGCCATCTGTTTTAGAACTGCAGAATAACTCCGCAATAGGATTTGAAGTGTGAAGCGATGCTCATATAGTCCCCAAACAACAAAGTTGTCGGATTCTGTGCGCACAATCGATTCGACTACGCAGAAATGGCTGCCCCAGTTGGAATTACACCCAATACGAGATGCGGTGATGTGGACCTCACGATGTGGATATGAATGGCGGTGTGTGCGGCTTGTGTGGTGTGTGCGGTGTGTGTGTGTGTGTCGTCTGCGGTGTCCGCTGTGTGTGCGGTGTGTGCAGTGTGTGGGTGTGTGTGTGTGTGTGTTGCGTGTGCGGTGCGTGGTGTGTGTGTGTGTGGTGTGCGGTGTGTTTGTGTGTGTGTCTGTGCTGCGTGTGCGGTGTGTGCGGTAGTGCCGTTCTGTATGGTGCACCATCTGATCTATCGTATGGCATTACCTATTGACGTACAAGAGAATATCACGTGTTACGTATCATAAAATACCACTTTGACGTGGCATTTGGGTACACGTAAAAAAAGGGGGTCATACGTTATTATTCATAGTGCGCCATGTGATACGACCTATGAGGATGACGTGCCACATGCTACAGGATATGATGCCCCGTACGGAGATACTACTCATGACGCATCACATGACGTATCAGATGGTTTCACTTGTGACGTATCATATGATTTTGTCTACGCAGTGTTCCGGGATATTACCTCTGCTGTGTCATAGTGTATCATTCATGATGTAGCACATGCTACGGCATACGAGCAGGCACCGGCTATTTCCCATGCGGCATCACATGCCACAGCATATGACGTGCCATGTGGTACCACCTATGGTGTGTCATTGGATGAAACCTATGATGCCGCATACGATTCCACTTACGATGTATACCGAACGCAACCACATGATGCATCACATGCTACCACCTACATTGTGTCATACGTATTATTTGTGCGGTGTGTATCATGTGGCACCACCTATGTCGAGCGGTATGAAATCAGCTAGCGTGCATCGTGCGATACTACCAATGACATGTCGTTCGGCTAAAGCGATCCATCGTATTCTGATAGGCCTCTCAGCAGCCTTCCGGAAGCATCTCAGCAGCCTCTCAGAAGCCTCTCAGCAGCCTCCTAGAAGCTTCGTAGAAGCCTCGCGCAAGCCTTTTTCGGAAACCGGTCGGGAGCCTCTCAGAAGCCCTTCGGGAGCCCCTCAGAAGCTTCGCAGGAGCTTCTCGGAAACCTCGCTGAAGCCTTTTCATAAGCTTCTCGGAAGCCTCTCGGAAGCCCCTCGGAAGCCTCGCATACACCTCTCATGGGCCTCTCGGAAGCCTCCCAGAAGCCTCTCGGAAGCCTCGTGCACATAAGCCTCGCAGGAGCCCCTCGGAAGCCTCGCACAAGCCTCGCGTAAACCTGTCGGAAGCCTCCCAGAAGACTCTCAGAAGCCTTTTTCGGAGGCCTCGCAGAAGCTTTCGGAGGCCTCGCAGAAGCTTTTCGGAAGCCCCACAGGAGCTTCTCAGAAGCCTTTCGGCAGCCTCTCGGCAGCCTCTCGGACGCCTCGCAAAAGCTTCTCGGATGCCTCGCAAAAAACTTCTCGGGAGCCTTTCGGACGTTTTTCGGAAACTTCGTAGAAACCTCGTAGAAGCTTCGTAGAAGCATCGTATAATCCTCGCAGAAGCGTCATCTAATCCCCTCATACTCCTCGTGGAAGCCTTTCAGAAGCCTCGTAGACTTCTTGTAGAAGCCTCGTAGAAGCCTCGAAGAAACTTTCAAGAAGCCTCGTGGAAGCGTCGTTTAAGCTCCGTAGAAGCTTCGTAGAAGCTTCGTAGCAGCCTCTCAAGATCCTCGTGCAAGCCTCGTAGAAGCCTCGTAGCAGCCTTTTTGTTCAACCGTCCTGTGGTGTTGGGTCTTCGTTTTGAAGAGACGTCGCGTTCTCCTCTCCTCTCCTCCTTCTTCTCCTCCCACTCCTCCCTCCTCCTCCCTCCTCCCCCTCCTCCCTGCGTTTCATCCACCCAGTACAAAGTTTCGTGGCCCCATCTTAGGGAGCCCCACCGAAAGGTCCCAGTGCTACCGTCCGCATGCGTCCCGCACACCCAGTACAGCGCTTCGTGGCCCTCCTCCCCCTCCTCCTTGCGTTTCACCCACCCAGTACAGCGCTTCGTGGCCCCATAGGGAGCCCCACCGAAGGTCCCTGCGCTACCGTCCGCATTCGTCCCGCACACCCAGTACGGCGTTTCGTGGCTCCATAGGGATCACCACCGAAGGTCCCAGTGCTATCGTCGTCTGCATGCGTCCCACACACCCAGTACAGCAGTTCGTGGCCCCATAGGGAGCCCCACCTACGGTCCCAGTGCTACTGTCCGCATGCGTCCCGCACACCCAGTGCAGCGTTTCGTGGCCCTCCTCCACCTCCTCCCTGCGTTTCACCCACCCAGTACAACGCTTCGTGGCCCCATAGGGAGCCCCACCGAAGGTCCCAGTGCTACCGTCCGCATGCGTCCCGCACACACAGTACAGCGTTTCGTGGCCACATGGGGAGCTCCACCGAAGGTCCCACCGTGCGTCTACAGCGTCCGCATGCGTCCCGCACCGACCCAGTGCTACAGCGTTACAGCGTTTCGTGGCCCTCCTCCCCCTCCTCCCTGCGTCCCGCACACCCAGTACAGCACTTCGTGGCCCCATAGGGAGCCCCACCGAAGGTCCCAGTGCTACCGTCCGCATGCGTCCCGCACACCCAGTACAGCGTTTCGTGGCCCCATAGGGAACCCCACCGAAGGTCCCAGCGCTACCGTCCGCATGCGTCTCGCACACCCAGTACAGCGTTCCGTGGCTCCATAGGGAGCTCCACCGAAGGTCCCAGTGCTACCGTCCGCATGCGCCCCGGAAACCCAATTTGGCATTTTCACCGGCCCATTGCAGCGCTTCGTGGCCCCACAGGGGGCTCCACACCCAGTACAGCGTCTCGTGGCCCAATCGGGAGCCCCACCGAAGGTCCCAGTGCTACCATCCGCATGAGTCCCGCACACCCAGTACAGCGTTTCGTGGCCACATAGGGAGCTCCACCGAAGGTCCCAGTGCTACCGTCCGCATGCGTCCCGCACACCCAGTACAGCGCTTCGTGGCCCCAGAGGGAGTACCACCGAAGGTACCAGTGCTACCGTCGGTATGCGTCCCGCACACCCAGTACAGCGCTTCGTGGCCCCATAGGGAGCCCCACCTACGGTCCCAGTGCTACTGTCCGCATGCGTCCCGCACACCTAGTGCAGCGTTTCGTGGCCCTCCTCCCCCTCCTACCTACGTTGTACCCACACAGTACAGCGTTTCTCGTGGCCCCATAGGGAGCCCCACCGAAGGTCCCAGTGCTACCATCCGCATGCGTCCCGCACGCCCAGTACAGCGTTTCGTGGCCCCATAGGGAGCCTCACCGAAGGTCCCAGCGTCACCGTCCGCATGCGTCCCGCACACCCAGTACAGCGCTTCGTGGCCCTCCTCCCCCGCCTCCCTGCGCCCCGCACACCCAGTACAGCGTTACGTGGCCCCATAGGGAGCCCCACCGAAGGCCCCAGTGCCCCCGTCCGCATGCGCCCCGGAAGCCCAATTTGGCATTTTCACTGAACCAGTACAGCGATTCGTGGCCTCATGGGGGGCTCCACCCAAGGTCCCAGTGCCACCGTCCGTATGCGTCCGGGAAATATAATTTTGCATTTTCACTCGCGCAGTGCAGCGCTTCGTGGCCCCATCCTGGGGCCTGGGTTCTGCGAAACCGTCGCCACTTTTGAGGGTTGCTGGTGGGCCCAGCGGAGTGAGGCACCGCGCGGACTTGAGGTCGACCTCGCCGTCCCGGGGGGGGGCTGCGATCTGCGAAGCAGCCGACACTTTCGAAGGTTGCTGGTGGGGCCAGCGGAGTAAGGCACCGCGCAGACCTGAGGTAGACCTCGCCGTCCCTGGAGGGCTGCGATCTGCGAAATTGTTGCCATTTTCGAAGGCTGCTGGTGGGTCCAGCGGAGTGAGGCATCGCGCAGACCTGAGATAGACCTCGCCGTCCCTGGGGGGGCTGCGATCTGCGAAACCGTCGCCACTTTCGAGGGCTGCTGGTGGGTCCAGCGGAGCGAGGCACCGCGCAGACCTGAGGTACCACGCCGTCCCTGGGGGGCTGCGATCTGCGAAACCGTCGCCACTTTCGAGGGCTGATGGTGGGTCCAGCGGAGTGAGGCACCGCGCGGACCTGAGTTAGACCTCGCCGTCCCTGGGGGGGGGCTTCAATTGTCGCCACTTTCGGGGGCTGCTGGTGGGTCCAGCGGAGTGGGGCACCGCGCGGACCTAAGGTTGACCTCGCCGTGCCTGGGGGGCTGCGATCTGCGAAATTGTCGCCACTTTTGAGGGCTGATGGTTGGTCCAGCGGAGTGAGGCACCTTTCAATTGGTGAGGGTTTAGAAAAAAACAAAAATCCAGACCACGAGGGCGCGGATTCGTTTATCTTCGCCGTTCGTGACCATCGGGAGGAGGTGGAGGTTCGGTAGCAAATCATGAGAGCCTGGTTTACCCTCCTAGCGTCGATTAGCGTCCACTGACGTCTGGGAGTCGATGAGATAGTGCAGAATCAGCGCCAGCTAGCATCAATTGGCGTTGATCTAGCGTCGATCGGCGTCGATTTAGCGTCGACCCGCAAGAGCCGACAAGACGATGTGGGAGGCTCCCAAGGGTTGCCATCGAAATCGAAGGGGGAAGGGGGAGGAAGGGGGAGGAACGGGGAAGATGATGATGAGGAGGAGGAGGAGGAGGAGGAGGAGGAGGAAAGGGGAGAAACGAGGAAGGGCTCCGCGGTCCCTCGCCGGCAGGGAGGAGGGAGGGGAGCCCAGCCGACCCGGGGCGGCCCCGGCCCGCCCTGCGGGGCGCCCATGGAGCAGCTCGCCTGGGCGCTGCCGGCCCGCCAGAGGGGGGGTGGGTCGAGCAGCTGGGGGGAGGCGCCCTGGCTCGCACAGTGGAGACCCGTGCCAAGAAACAGCTTGCTGCTTGCCTCCAGGGTGCCGTGGGTTTCTTGCGTTTCGATAGCCATGGAATGCGTGACGTTCCGACACCAAAAATCAATGGACGTCCTGGAGTCTCAGGGTTGGGTTTCTTGTGGAAGGTTTGTTGTGGACGGGCCCCTACTGTATGGGCCCACCAGGAAATGCTTTAAGAGCTTGTTTCGAAGGAGAGAAAACGGCATAAACATTTGTTTCCCAACCGTCCTGTGGTGTTGGGTCCTCGTTTTGAAGAGACGTCGCCCCGCGTTCTCCTCTCCTCTCCTCCTCCCCCTCCTCCTCCCACTCCTTCCTTCTCCTCCCTCCTCCCCGTTCTCCCTGCGTTTCATCCAACCAGTACAACCTTTTTGTGGCCCCATACTAGGGAGCCCCACCGAAGGTCCCAGTGCTACCGTCCGCATGCGTCCCGCACACCCAGTACAGCGTTTCGCGGCCCTCCTCCCCCTCCTCCCTGCGCTTCACCCATAGGGAGCCCCACCGAAGGTCCCAGTGCTACCATCCGCATGCGTCCCGCACACCCAGTACAGCGCTTCGTGGCCCCATAGGGAGCCCCACCGAAGGTCCCAGCGCTACCGTCCGCATGCGTCCCGCACGCCCAGTACAGCGGTTCGTGGCCCCATAGGGAGCCCCACCGAAGGTCCCAGTGCTACCGTCCGCATGCGTCCCGCAAACCCAGTACAGCGCTTCGTGGCCCCATAGGGAGCCCCACCGAAGGCCCCAGTGCCCCCGTCCGCATGCATCCTGGAAGCCCAATTTGGCATTTTCACCCACCCAGTGCGGCGCTTCGTGGCCCCATGGGGGGCTCCACCCAAGGCCCCAGTGCCACCGTCCATATGCGTCCGGGAAATGTAATTTGGCATTTTCACTCGCGCAGTGCAGTGTTTCGTGGCCCCATAGGGAGCTCCACCGAAGTCCCCAGTGGGTCCGTCCGCATGCGACCCGGAAACCCGATTTGGCATTTTCACTTACTCAGTAGAGCGCTTCGTGGCCCCATAAAGAGATCCACCGAAGCCCTCAGTGGGACCGTCCGCATGCGTCCCGGAAACCCAATTCGGCACACCACCCACACAGTACAGCGTTCCCCCCCGCCCAGTGCAGCGCTTCGTGGCCCCATAGGGAGTTTCACCGAAGCAGATACAATTACGGTACCCACAGCTGCATATGGTTGAGACCTTCGCCAGGATAATTTTTGGCGCTCCGCGCGGATTTCTTGGACCCCCCGCGGCGCCTCCAGCGCCGCCCCTGGCGCGCTCCGCGCGCAGATCCAAGAAATTTGCGCGGAACGCCAACAGTTTGTGTGTTATGCCCGTTTTTCTTTCTCCGATTGTTGTGGTTGGTACGAATTGTTATTCTTCACGCGACGAGGAAAAGAGGCTGGACCCCTTGATCAGCGTGGTCATGAACGCATCTCTCTCGGGAGGCATTTATTTCCTGCCCACCCTGGCACGGACTCAAGCGGCAAGCCACTGGCTCGACCCGATGGTATACGAACAGTGACAAGAAAGATCAGAAGCAGCTTGGGCAGCGAGCCTGCTACCGCCACAGATGAACACAGGGACCCTTACGGCGACGACCCGGACTACGACCTGGATAAGGTGAGCGAGGAATCTGAAGCGGACGTAGCAGACGAGCCTGAAGGAAACCCAGCTACAGGCGATGGTCACAACACCGAGACGACGGACGACGAAACATCCAGCGTCACAGACGACAGACCCTGGTTCCTCGTGCGGATACAGGGGCCAGTGGAGTTACGACAGGTCCTCAGACCGCCGGGCCACGCATTCTCGCGACGACGCCTGGCGTCACCAGGACATGCGCATGGGAAACGACGGGAGATTCTATCATGGCATACGGGTACCCTTATCCAAGAACCCATTGTCCATCTTTACGATCCCAAGAAGAACGACGGGTCCAAAATGTGCAAGGCACCACCGCGCACGATCGACTCACAACACTCCTGGGAGTCCGACGGCGCTTTCGCCCTCAGGATGCAGAAAGAGCTAGGCAGCACGTTCAGCGACTTGTGGTGTGCACCTCACTAACGCCCAGCCGACCTTTGGCCCAGCACTTCAGCCGCCAAGCGCGTGCCGGGTTTTCCTCAACGCCTGGAGGAATGCAGAATACGACGTTTACCGCGCCGACCGTATCCTGCGCACCAAGACCAGCTTTCGCAGCCCAACTGACAGGCTCACGGTTGTCAATAACGCCTCCAGCTCAGGAGCTGCCAGCAGCAGCGGGCCCCCGCCTCCAGGTCCCACGCAGCGGGAGAGCACCCGAGCAAGGGGAAAGGCAAAACGAAAGACGGACCCGATTCACTGGGCAAGGCTGGGAAGAGGAACCGAGTAACCGAGAGCCCATGGAGTTCATGGCACGAGAAACGGTATCGTCAGTAATAGTGGGCACGGGGCGTCACCCAGTTTCGACGAGATACAACTCTATCATCACACCGGGCATGCGGTGCGCCATGCGACTGCGCTGCTAACTCGCTCTCGTGTGCTTGCGGGGGTTAGCCGCGTTCCCCTGCTCTCCCTTCCCTTCTGCCTCCTTCGCAGTCTCTGCGGCTCAATGCTGTCGTCAGATTGGCAGCCCACCGTGATTGCCCCTGCCAAGCGTCCCATGGAAGAGCGCCCGGGATGCTTCGTCGACTGCACCTCCTTGAGGGCTCTTGTAGTAAACTAGTGCGTGGCTAACAAAAAACATGCATTGCCTGCGCCCGCTGGCGCATATGGGATGGCGTGCTAGCTCAATGGAGGACTGGAGGACCTCATCATCCGTGAATGCACGCTATTTCGCGGCCGAAAGAGCCCAGCTTTTCCCTGGACTTCGTGTGGAAAACAATGGCAAGCTGGTGCCAGTGGCGGTTTACTGAGGCAAACTTCGATGCCGAGCGCCGGGCGTGCGCGTTATTTAATCGCTTCGCTCATTCCGCCGGCCCATACAGTCTCATGTCTGCCGTTTGCCCGAGGGCCTGGTGTCAATGCGGCGCTTTGGGGGTTCCTGGGGCCGCTTGGGGGACTCCTGGGGCGCTCGGGGGGGCATTTGGGGGGCCTCCTGGGGCCGCTTGGGGGACTCTTGGGGGCCTCCTGAGGGCCCCGTGGGGGCCTCTTGGGGCCTCTTAGGGGCCTCGTAGGGGCTTCTTAGGGCCGAGGGCTCGAAATGTTGTTTCGTGTTCCCTCTCTGGGGCCCCTTTGGGGGCGTTCTTGGGGCCCTCTTGGACCGTTTTGGAGGCTTCTTGGGCCGTCTTCGAGCCCTCTTGGGCCATCTTGGGGCCCTCTTGGGTGCCTCTTGGGCCCTCTTGGGGCGATCTTGGGGGCCTCTTGGGCCGTCTTGGGGCGTCGGGAAGCCGAAAAGGTGGAAGCTCCAAAATCTCTCAAAAACCTATGGAAAAACAATGATTTTTGCCTCCGGGGGCCCTATTGGGAGTGCTCTTGGAGGCCTCTTGGGGCGTCTGGGGGCTATCTTGGGCGTCTTGGAGCGATCTTGTGGCATGTCGGACCCCTCGTGTACCATCTTGGGGGCCTCTTGGGGGCCTCTTGGCCTTTCTTGGGGCTCTCGGGGACGTCTCGGAGCCCTGTTGGTGCGCTCATGGAGCGCTCGGGGGGACCCGGCCGGGACCTGGTCGGGGTACTTTTCGTCCGGGGACCCCCAGGGGCCGCCCCGCGCGCGCGAACTAGAAAATTGTTAACCAGTTACCGGAGATCTTAGCACGCCTCTGGCCCGTTGGGCCGGCGAATTGTGCACAGGGTTATGGTGAGCTCTCCTCCTTCTTCTCCTTCCTGCGTCACTGGGATCATGTATTACACCGGGACTGGGTGGTGCGGTGCTTACTGGTTGCCTTAAGCCGGCGCCCCCCCCCCCGCTGATGGCCGAAAGGGTTCAGTGGGCTCCGATGCTCGTGTCTCCTGCTTCCTATTGCCGCGGCGGTTAGCTGCCACAACGGGATGCCTACCGTGCCTGGCGCGCAGTTCCCCTCGAGTCCCTCGTTTCACCGGGTCTATCCCACGCGACTGGGGTCGCCGCCAATATTGCTGTCCGATGGTGCTCTGACAGCCTGAATTCCATGCAAGGTTCACATTGGGAACGGACGGCCAGGTGGCCCCTGACCTGCTCCTGTCTGGTGTCGGCCTCCACTGGTGACCGGGAGGGTTCCGCGAGGTCTCGCTTCGAATTCCGTGCATGACCGCCTTGGGGGTGGGCGGCCAGGTGGCCCTTTGGCTTGCTCCTGCTTGGTGTCAGCCTCCACTGGTGACCGTTTGGGTTCCGTGGGGTCTCGCTACGGTGCCGTCCTCTTCGGTGCGAGGATTTCGGTATGCGTGGCTCTGCGCGCTCGTCGGCTGCTCTCTCCTACGTGGACTTCGCGTTCGACCTGTGCCTCCGGATGCGCATGCAAGAGGATCAGCCGTTTGCAGTCCTGTATGTGACGAGGCCGCCCCCTCTTTACTCCGGCGCCGACGCGATGCTGTTGTGCCACCTGCGGCACGGATGTCGCCCCGGAGTGCCTGTCGGACCGGCTAGTTTTTTGTCGGGCCTTATGCCGACTCATACCGGGTGATCGATCTCTGCGTGCTCATGGTCGCGCCGCCGCGCCATTTTGGCTGCGCCTATTTGATGGTCGCCGCCGAGATTTCCACGCCACCGGGTTGCGAGTGCCGCTCTTGGTGTTTCTGAATGACTGCCCGCGCGCTCGCTTCGCTTGCCCCTTCCTTTTACTGCTGCCTAGTCGCGGCCCGGCTAGTGATCGGACGGCTTTCGACTTGCTTCGCGAGCCCGCAGACCACAAAGTACCCCAGCCAGCCCGCCTCTGCTCCCGCCTCTGGCTCTGGAGCACCAGGCGCGTGGGAGGCGTTTCACTGCCGTGGCCCCCGTCGCCACGGCGCCCCCTCCCAGCGGCCTCTGCTCTA